TGGTCACCACGATGTAAAAAAGATGTTGAGACTCTAGAAAGAGTACAGAGAAGAGCAACAAAGATGATTAGGGGACTGGAGGCTAAAACATATAAGGAACGGTTGCTGGAATTGGGTATGTCTAGTTTAATGAAGAGAAGGACGAGGGGGGATATGATAGCAGTGTTCCAATATCTCAGGGGCTGCCACAAAGAAGAGGGAGTCAAGCTATTTTCCAAAGTGCATGAGGCCAGGACAAAAAGCAAAGGATGGAAACTAATAAAGGAGAGAAGCAACCTAGAACTGAAGAGAAACTTCTTGACAGTTAGAACAATTAACCAGTGGAACAACTTTCCTCCAGAAGCGGTGAATGCTCCAACACTGGAAGTTTTTAAGAAGAGACTGGACAGCCATTTGTCCGAAATGGTATATATTATTATTATTATTATTATTATTATTATTATTATTATTATTATTATTATTATTATTATTATTATTAAACTAAACCAATCTGGTTTTCTTAACGGTGACATCTGTCTAAGTTGTAAGTGTCTAATTCCAAAGAATGGTGTGTGCGCTACTTAAAGTCATTTAAATCAATTCTATAGATAGAACACATGCCTCAAATATTAGCTATGTTTATAATTCTGGTTATGGGGTGTGCAATATAGCTGGATCCATGCAATATAATAAGAAGTGTGATCATGACTTTTCCTCACATTTCCCAAGACAGATTGTAAATTGAAGATGGCATCTATGGCTGGGAAGGTCTAGTTTCCAATTCCATTAATGATTAACTTTATCAACAAAGGCCCCTTCCCATTTGGCAGAAAGTCTATAAAATGCCATTCTTTATTAGCTCCTGATGATAAATGTTCCCCACAATCAGGAAAAATGATACAAGTCTTGTCATTTTTCAAAATGTACTAATGGCAGAGGAAAGGAAGGAGGGAATTAGCAAAAAAGTTTGATATATCCAATTGTAAAAATATAATGTAAAAATGTTTTGTTAGACTTTTGGCATCTTTATATAATTACTGATACTCATAAATCATTATTGCATAAAGATAGGAGCAATCATATTAATGAGTTTCTTCTAAGCATTCATGGACAATCAAATAATGTTTTTTAAACCCTATGGAGCAATGGTTTAGAATGTTGGCAAATGACTATAGATAAGTCCAAATACAACTGATGTATTTAGATCTATTTTAATTCTGTTTTTAACTCAGATATATGTGTAAAACTATTTTGATTTATTGTGAAGGATGACCTACATCATCAAAAAGGAAAGCTTAAGTCAGTAGGAGAAGATGTAAATCCAGGCAGAAGTTTCAATTTTAAGAAGGCTAGCTTCATGGCAAAGGACTGTGATCAAGACACAGCAAGGTGCTGTAGTTCTCAAAAACTTGAACTGAACTATTTCCAAAGGAAGGAGTAACTTGTAAGGGCCCTACTGAGCTCCAAAATGAAATGGGAGGTTTTTTCATGCCTACTGTGTGCTGCTGCACTTAAGAGAATATGTTTCTAGAACAAAACTTATTGCTGCTGTAACATGAGCTCCTTCAAGCAAATAGGATTCTCAGTTGTCAAAATAGCAAAGCCACTGCCAAGCCATAGGAAATGAGCATCTAAAATGTCATTTAAATACAATCCTTTTAAAACACAAGATAAGCATCTAAGAACATCTCATTTTACATGACAGCAGTGATAGTTTCTTTGCTGGAGTTTATATTCATCTCTTTTCCTTGCTTTTGACAGAATGTCACTTGGACTTTGAAGAACAGAAAGAGTTTTGGTGCTTTTGTATGCTGATATCGGAGAAGACTCCTGAGTATTCCATGGTTAGACAAAAGTAAATAAATGACATATTGAGCAAATCAATCTCAAGGTTTCACTCAAGACATAAATGAGCAGACTCAAATTATCATATTTGGACATAGTATTAATACTTATCTTCTGGAGAAGTCTACAGTATAATGGGGGGACAAGTGGAAAGAAAGAGAAGAAGCTGAGAAAGAGCAATCTGATTAATTCAGTTATCACAGTGTTGGATGCACCATTGGAAGATTTGCACCAAGTTAAAGACAGATCCTTCTATGAAAAATCTATTTTTCTGTTTGCAAATAATTTCTCATAAAGCAATTCAAAGGGAAGGAATGTATAAAATTGTCCTTATGTGGTTCCATTTATTTAAAATAATTGTTACTGGCACCTTATCTTTAACAAGAGAACTAAAAAGAACTTAATGTAAATTTAAATGAACTTTTTCCACTAAATTTCTAAATGAACTGTAAACGTTAGCCCTAGAAGGATAATAAAATAAATTCTCACTATATTACTTTCTCACAACTTGACAGAAACATTTACCATAAAACTTTTGGCATGTCTTTTTGAATGGTGATATTTAAATAATATATTAATGTGGTATAAAATGTCAGCATACACCATCACATTGTGCAAATAACAAAGACAATTGTATATAATACTCCTTGAAAATGGAAATCTTTATGCACATAGAGATGAAGCCCAGCTTTAAAAAGTATTCCACTAAATTTTGTATATTCACTAAAACTCCAGATCTGAGTTAGCAGCTTTCCATAGTGATAGTTTAAATGAAGAAAATATCAGATACTGTATGGTAACAACTCTCATCTTCCTGTAAATTGCTGCTGTTGGTTTTTGAAAACACCGGAAATTGCTGGCAATTGACAATGTGACACATTGCAAGAATAGTTTGACTAGACTTTTGCTCACTTACACAAAACTGTTCCTACATTATTCATGCACAGCATTCAACACTTAGGCAATTATCAGAATCATTGATTTCTGAAATCCAGAGTCTTCCTTTCACACTAGACTAAAATCTCTTTTTGTCCTCTTTATAAAGATCAAATTAACATGGCAGCCAACAAATGAAAAACCTTTAACTGTTTCAAGGATCACTAACTCGATGTCAACGCTGCAAATACTGTATATTCTTGCTTTGACAATATGCAGAATTGTCTGGCATTTTTATAGTTAAACCAGGCAACAGAGAAAAGGGAGGAGAATAAGGGTAGCCCGGGAAAAAGAAACCGGAAGTAAATCACATCTTCCAAGCTGATTGGAAGATGTGAACCATGACCCCAAAAGAGGGGGGGAATGCTTAAAATGTAGATGTCAACGCTGCAAATACTGTATATTCTTGCTTTGACAATGTGTCCTACCCCCTCACAGTATATGCGTAACGGAAGAGAAGCCAGACCTAAGCATTTCCACCATGCTGTACTGACGTCTCTGTAACCTTAATAAATGCTTTTAGGAGAAAATATGCCTGAAAGTCCTTTTAAGTGTTTCGTTAATCAGACACATGACATCCTACCAATTTTCACCATGCCATCATACCAACAGTTTTTAGAACATCCTATATTAGATTTTTATTGAAATTGCAGTTATAAAGGAAAAAAATCATTAGGAAAGAAATAAAATAAATTATTAATTGATACAAGAGAGTTTAAAAATTTATTATACTATCATATAAGTATTATCTATGTGGTCCCTAAAAATGATACAAATTTTGATAGCATGGAATCAATTGAGAATATTTGAAGTTACAATTACTGAATCTTATTGTGACAGAATATATTTGCAAAATTTAACTGATCTAAAAGGTACTTGGGGAAGAGCAAAGTAGCTCTTCCCCAAACGTTAGCTCTTGATTGAACTTGCCCTCTGGATCCATCATAGCAAGCAGCACTTTTTATAAATGGCCTTTTCTCATTTTTCCCTTGGAATACAGTCACAGTGTGCTCAGAATTGGACTATTTGAAGTTAAATCAAATAGTATTTTGATTTAAATACAGACATTTTATTTAAATATATTTCATATATTTTATAATACTGGTCATACTATATTCCTGTATCAATCATTGTTTCAGTTTATGCTTTGCACTGCATTTAGCTACAGCATTGTAATCAATAAAATTACTATATGTAGGCAAAGCACATCATAGAAATGCCATGCTCAGCAGCATTTACTCTTGCTCTAATTTCACTTCCATTTGGACTTAACATATGTAAATTGTGCCTTTATATTCCACATTTTCTCTCAATGAAATGCATGTATCATAATCAGTTCCATTGACTACCATTCCTGTCCACCATATAAACAAGAGAGCAAACCCTATTCCCTTCTAGCACTGAAGGTGTTACCTAGTCTGGTTACAAAATGTCTGCAAGCAAACAACCAAGTACAGATAGCACCAAGGACTCCACAGTTCAACTCTTTGAGCTACATATATTCTTTTCTATTGGTCTCATCAACAGCCTATCTGCATTTACCACTTCGGCTGCCCCTGTTCTGTGTTCCCAAGGGCTTGACTCTAAATCAGTTTAAGAAAAAATAGGTGGGAAAGGCTACAGAAGGAAACTTTGCTTCAATATCTGTATTAAGGCTATATTGTTCTTAAATACTAGGACTTTATGAAAAAGATGGTTATCAAGAACCTTCTATTCTACAAGCTGGTGGTTCCTATCATGAGCTACTTTTGGCTGCAGAACAGAGAAAATGACAGAACAGTTAACAAGCTCAAACAACTTCAGGGAAGTAGAGTAAAAAAAACAATAACAATATAGCCTCAATCAATTCAAAAATTAATTATTAAAGTTTTTGCAAAACAGAAAGCCAAACAAAATAATATGAAAATATCTGTTTGGAAGAGTTCCACGTTATTTCTAACAAAATGTTTGAATTTTGACAAGTTAGAAGAAACTAATCATAAAATAATTATTTGAAGGGCTTGGAACAAGTAGGGTTTATCTAATTACTACATATGTATGATGTATCTCTTTATGTTAGTGGGTTTCCCCAAAACATATCATAATGCTATAGCAATTGTGGAAATAGAAATTCAAAAGATCCACAAATGATCCATAGTCATTTTTTTCAAAATGCAATGAAATATATTTTTTAAAATAGTCATCCTGTAATTATTTAAGAATTATTGTTCCATTTCATTCAGTCAAAATATGGAACCTACCTTAGATAGACCACCTACTTCCAAATAAAAGCAGATAATGAAAACATTCCATGTGACCCAGAGAGCAGTCCAAATGGAGTACTAAAGTAAAGAAAGAAAAATAGATAATAGATTATGATAAAAATATTATACACATGGATGCTGTAAATCAAACATATAAGTACACTTCTGGGAACCACCAGGCAGGGAGTTTCCAGAAAGAATTCTCTACTCTGAAATCTGTAGAAATGCAGCCAACTCTAAATCCAATATTCTTTCTTTCACTGATTACACTCAATGAAAGTTAGATTAATTATTTATGGTGCTATATCAGTCTATTGATACCAATAAATTGTGATTCATTGACCTAACTATGCATTTAATTCTCATGATATATTTCTGCAATGCTTGAAAGCAATTATACCACAGCCTTATTTTGTTAAGTCTCTTAAGAAATGACCAAAAGCCAAAAAATCTGATAAACCAAATAAATAAATAAGTCTGTGATCAATAATGTTGTGAATTAAATTTCTCCAAATTATCAATTGATGACCTTCAGATTTTCCCTCTATCAAGCCAGCAAATATACAACACATGTATGTACACATCAAAATAAAAAGGAGAGGAATAGGAACAAAATATATTGTTGGAAAAATCATTGGTATCTAGGTACATCGATAAGAACACTGAAATGACATTGCATGTATTTGTTGTACTAATTTAGCATAAAAATTCAGATTTTTGCAGAATAATGTTACGATGCATACAATGTCACTTTTCTTCCCTTCCCTCCCTGGTGACCATTTGTGTGTAATATGAATAGAACTTCTTTTCATGTCTTCATTTATAAAATTCATAGTATGGAATTCTGATTTCTTTAATCTCATTTAGACCTGCCCTTATTAGATTGTGTGCAACTTTGATTCAAATGTGCTTCAATCCAATCACCAGGCTGAATGGAATAATTGATTCAATATGTTGATTATGTGGCATCAAGTCAGTGCTGATTTTTAGCTATTACATAGATAGATTTTCTCCCTGAATCAAATGCTTTTAAATTTATTGAGGGTTCAGTAGAATTCCATGCATGTAGATACAAATTAACTTCTACAAATTGTGCTGCAAAATCAAATCAAACTGCACATTCAAATCAGATTCGGATTTGAAGACATAAAACTTATGCATCATTTGATGAAAGAATTCTTTTTTGAGTTTTAAAAATTAAATTCAGGCAAGATTTCACACATTGTGACAAGCCATAATATGTTTTGTTTAATTTTATCTTAATGGGTTTAGCATGTTACATGAACTCAACTGTGGTTTATTCAACAATCACAATTAAATAAACCATGTCTTAACAAGTTGCAAATAAACCTTAATCTCAATTGGCTATAAATTTTAAACAGAAAATGATGAAGAAGATTTTTTTTTTCCCTTTCAGTAATACTTCATTCAAAATCTTTCCTCTTATTAACCGTTTTCATTCCACAAGCAAAAAATCCATAACACTGAGCAGAGAGTTGGACTAGAAGACCTCTCTAAAGTCCCTTCCAGCTCTATTCTGATTGATTGATTTACATAAATATCAGTCCTTGTGTGTTATTGTCAAATTTGTCATTACTGGAAAAATGATTAAAAATCATAACTGATACTTAAAGTTTCATTTCTTTTTTTAATAGATTGACTATTTTAGTCAAACAGGAGAATGAGGTGAACATAATGTACTTTGACTCCAGCAAAGCATTAAACAAAGTCTCCTTACATTTTGGCAAATTATGAGCTAGACCAGGGTTCTCTTCTAGAAGAAGAGACAAAGAACAATTGGTATGACAACAGGAAAAAAATTGTAAAGGTAAGACTTGTTTAACAACAGAACAGATTAGGTCAGGGAGTGGTGGACTGTCCTACAGTGGAAACTGGAGAGACATTTATTGAACTTGCTTTAGTGAATACTGAGATAACTCAATATTTATATAATCTTAGAGTGGAGCTAGACTATTTTGTATTTAGGTAGAAAAGTATGTACTGCCCTAAATAAAAATATTGGATATTCCTTGTTTTCTATATTTTGTTTGATCTTTCTGGGCTGTTATAATTGATTGAAATAGGCAGTCTGAAATTAAAATATAGCACAGGGCTCAGCAATTGTTTGCACAAGGTCTCCCAAGATTTCAAACAAGAATGCAAAATTTCACTAATGTCCAGCAAGTACCAGTATTTGGCATAAATTCTGAGATGTCCTGAGTTCTAAGGCATGCTCATTTAAAAATGGGAAGGTTTAGCTTAGATATACAGATAGTCCTTGACTTACAAACATTTGTTTAGTGACTGTTCAAAGTTACAATGGCACTGAGAAAAGAAAAAAGTGACTTGTGATCATTTTTCACACTTAAGACCACTGCAGCATCCCCATGGTCACATGATTAAAAATCAGATGCTTGGGAACTGGCATGTATTTATGAAAGTTGCACTATCCTGGGATTATATGATCACCATCTGTAACCTTCCCAACTGGCTTCTGATGCTCAAAGTCAATGGTGGAAGTCAGATTCGCTGAATGACTCAAACAGCAGTGATTCACTGCTGAATGACTTAATAACAGCACTGTTGAATGACTTAATAACAGCAGTGATTCACTTAACAATTATGGCAATAAAGGTTATAAAATGGGGCAAAACTCACTTAACTACTATCTTACTTAGCAACAGAAATTTTGAGCTCAATTCTGGTTGTAAATCAAGGGCTACATGTAATATAAAATAAATCTCAATGTTGGTTTATTAATATTCACATTATGATTTTATTTGCTTTCTTCTTTTAACAATTCATTAAATGGTCTAAAATGAGAAAACAAAATATGGAACTAAACAGATTTTAAGAATGGAAATGTTATTTATGGATAATTCAAACATCCCACAGATCAAGGAAATACAGTTATGTAAAGTTAATCACTTTCATAAAAAGTTTCCTTTTTACAGACTTAGGAAACACATTGAAATAAAACCCCAAATATAAAAAAATACTGTTATTCTGTGCCTGTTAGAATGCATGGTAGTTTGAGAAATAATAAAAGATGAAAGGTCTCACATCAATACTAATATAAACTTTAAAAGCAATTTTTAAAAAATTCCTTAACTGAAATTCCTAACGAAATAAAATAGAAGAGACTGTTTTTACACCTCAAAATCCATTACTAATAAAATTATAGAAAGTTCCCAAATGCTGACATTTCGGGAGGGAGAAACCATAAATATTCAGCCTTTCCAACCAGCTAAATTTCAGCATAATGTGAAGGTTTTTATATGGTTTTAGAATTCGTTATTCCTGTTGCAGAAATCCCCAGTGTGTTTACAGTTCTTATACAAAGACTACGCCTATTATTATGTTGTTTCACAAAGCTGAAGTAAAACCCCTTGGCATCTTACAGTTATTTATTCTTTAAATCACTATCTTCAATTGTTTTCAGGGTCAGTTACTAGTCTGCATCAATTCAAAGAAGTTTCTGATGGTTCCCATAAACACATGGGGGTTACATGAGTGTGAATTGCATGGACAAATTAGATGTAAAATGTATTAAAAAACATGAAGGAAATAAGATACGGCAAAGCAAAGAAAGCAAATTATACTACAAAGGTCTTATTTGTCAGCAGTTTGATCC